TCGAATCCTGTTGCTGTCCACATGTTTTGCGTTCTTCTCAAAATCCATTTTTTACCTGTTTTATGCATTACTGACGTAAAAAATGACACATACGGGTGATTAAACTCTACTAATTATATTCCTGCTGTGTCATTCTCACAAGGTAGCCCATTAGCAAGAATCAATACGACGTGATACAACTTGGATACGTGCAATCGAAAAAAGTATGTGGGAGTGAGGATTTGGCAAATCTTCAAGGTAAATTGAAAAGCCTCGCTAAAAAGTCGTTGCTATGCACTATGAAAATTTTACATATGAAGCATTGGTCGAATTTTCGTGAGAAAAATCATCCCGTAACCCGTGTCTGTCATTTTATACCTCAATAATACATAAAACAGGTAAAAAATGATTTTTGAGAAGAACGCAAAACATGTGAACAGCAACAGGATTCGAACCCTCACCGGTCACCTGTGAGTCCGAGACGTTAACCACTACACCACACGACCACAATCGGAGCATTTGAGCATTCTCTAGACATGCACACGCCAAAAACTTCAGAGGCCCATAACTTGCTTCACAATAACGCGTCGCAGCTAATGGGCGCACATTTGATACTAACCTCCCGAGCCCCGCGTCCGGGTATATACCACGTATCAATCGGCCATTTCGATTCGGCGAACTTCCCTTGTCAGAGCTAAGAAGACGAATCAGGCTCCAAACAGTCCTATGAATTCCACAAGGTTTAGGTTAGCGATTCATATAAATACTGTCCGCTAAAATTGTTTTTAATATAGTTAATGGGGTGTGCAGAAACAGCATTAGTGAGCGGCGTATTCTACCGTGTTCAAGACTGCGTCTCGCTCTGACAAGGGAACGATACTTGGTGTCCGTGGCCTTTTGAGATGGGATGCACACCATTAACCTCGTCTTGGAGCGGTGATTCCGAATCTGACTTTCGTTTTGCTAATCGTTTCTCTGAAAAAAGTTATGGATTTTCGCACCAAGGAAAAGATAGTCGGAATGCCAAAATCGCCGCTACGATGCGGTGTAGTGACTAGTGTGATAGCCTCACAATTAATGCAGGTTTAGGTTTGAGCTTTATGTGTTTTCATTTTTTCATTACGTTAACCAAGCTTCTTTTTGAAGGTTAGGCATCGTCGGCCGTATTTCCCTTATTAAGCGACCATTGACGCGAAGGTCCTTCATGAATTCTTTTAGAAAAATGATTAGCAGAAACGGAAGTGAGATTTGGAATCAGCGTTTCAAGACGAATGTAATGATATACATCTCATCTCAAAAAGCCACAGACACCAAATATCGTTCCCTTGTGAGGCTAATGAAACCTCGTTCGCGACCGTAGCTATTGCGCCTTCGTCCGATAGTGCCCTTCACCTTCCAAGCGCTTCGCTCTATTTGTTCACCCCCGTGGGGGTGTGAGCCAATCCCTGCAGCAGTGCAACGCTGGGCCGACCCGTAATGAGGTCAAGCAAGCCCTCAACTTCATCCGGTTCCAAGAATCAAATAACCTTAACGAGACTTATTTGAGACTCTATCGAAGGTTAGTTCGATAAGAACAGAAACTAAACTTTGATCTTAGCCAAAAGGCCGAGAAGCGATACCTGACTGTGCTGGCAGCGGTGCCACTCCAGCCGAGTCGGACTCATCGCAGGTCAGCTAACGCTCACTATCTCACCTCAGGAGAGCGCAGAGGGTGAGTACGCCTGCGTCAGCAATTAAACGCTTTTTACCAGCAATAGTTCAGATATGAAAGATTTACCGCTTCAGAGTTGATAATATGATGATCTTTATGGTGATCTTTAGGACACTTGACTTAGAGGGGTAATGCTGGGAAGAAAAATGGCTCAAACCGTTGTAAAGACTGGGAGAAGTTCGTAATTCAAAATCGGAGCCCACGATTCAAGCGTTCTAGCGCAGTTACTTCAACATGTTGCTCAGGCTAATAAAGCTCAGTTTGACAACTGGTACTAAAGTCTGACTGGTCTCATTTTCTATACTCTTCTCGGCTCCAGGAACGACCTTCAATTCAGAGAATAGTCTTCTCCATAGTTTTTACTAGGAAGATTTTACAGCAATTAATATCGCCTCGAGGGCACCACTGTGAGCCATTAGAAACTTTGTAAGTGCAGAACTTTTGAATCTGAGTTATTGCTGGTAAAATAGCGTTTACCTGCTAGCACAGATGTATTCACTTGTCCCTGCGCTCTCTGCTGTGAGATAGTGAGCGCTTACTGACCTGCGATAAGTCCGACTCACTGGCTGAGGTGGCACCGCTCCCAGCACATTCAGATATCGCTTCTCGGCCTTTTGGCTAACAAGGGAGGGAAGGTGGGTCGAAGTGGCCTTTCAGAATAAGATGGGTATCATCTTGTAGGGCCTCGAACGCTGATTTCAAATCTGCCTTCCTTATCTGCGGCGCTCTTTTGGGCGAGGAGTTATGAGGGTTTTTAGGGATACGAGTACAATCACGGACAGCACACCGCTGTGTGCCTCTGGTGTAGTGGTTAGTGTGGTGATTTTGCAGGAAGAAGCTCCCAGGTGCGAATCTCCTACCGCGATTTTCCTTTTGCTGGTTTACAAAAAATTTGTATGAGCACGGGTATCGTCTATACATCAACTCTTCCTTCTTTCAACTGCAAATCTCTTCAAAAAAGTTTTATTACTCTATGTTTTCAAACGTCTACGTGCACTGATGAAAGGAGAGGACAAAATGTGCAAAACATACGTGCGGGCGGGCAGGCGGGCGTTTCAAAATCTCTTAAATGTGCATCAAGGTAGCCGCTGGCGTACCAGGAATAAGCCAAGAGAACAGGCGAGAATATCTTGTAGAATGAGTTTTAGATTGCGTAACTTGTACGTGCGTTTTTTCAGCTTTACCAACTATGAACGTGGGTCTTTGCATGTTGAGAACATTGTAACCTCTTACGTTCACCGCGGTGTTACGTGACAAATTGATTCTTTTGACATTTCTACCTCCACTTCAAATCACTTGCAAAGACCTTCAGAGAGAGCAGTTGTTGCCTCGAGATTCTGATGAAAGAAACAGGGGGTGGTGTATGGACGCTGTTCATGCTCATACAAATTTTTTGTATGACCAGCAAAACGGGAATCACAGCAGGCGATTCGAACCTGGGAGCCTCTGCTCGCAATGCCACCACACCAACCACTACACCAGACGGCACAGAGGGATGTGCTGCCCTTGATTGTACTTGTATCGACTTCCGCCCCTTAAAAACCCTCATAACTCCTCACCCAAAAACGCGCCGCAGATAAGGAAGGCAGATTTGAAATCAGCGTTCGAGGCCCTACAAGATAATACCCATCTTATTCTGAAAGGCCACTTCGACCCACTTTCCTTCCCTTGTAAGATCAAAGTTTAGTTTCTGTTCTTATCGAATTAGCCTTCGATAGAGTCTCGAGTGAGTCTCGTTAAGGTTATTTGATTTTTGGAACCGGATGGGGTTGCAGGCTTGCTCGCACCTCATCACGGGTCGGCCCAACGTTGCACTGCTGCTGGGATCGGCTCACACCCCCAAGGGGGTGAACAAGAACAAGTACAAAGAGGGAAGTAAGGTGTGCCTGACAATGAGATCCACAGGAGAGGGAGACTTCTTAATAGCGCATCTGCCACAAACCATGCAACTCATCACATGCGGCTTGTATCTGTTGCACGCTCGGTCAGAGCGCTATTTCAAAGAATGACTTTGATCAAGATGGCTGCAGAGCCGAATTAGTCGCTGCCAGATTTCAAGGGAAATGAATCTTAAAAAAAGTTGGCAGATACTATGAAGGTGCCCGAGTGAAGATGTCTTATCTGTGCTACAAAACAACGAAATTAGCAGTGTGCTTCGGAGATTTCATGATATAAGATTAGTTTTCAAACAGCGTGTCATTACTTCTATACAATTTAGGAAGCACATTAAGTTTTGGAGATGGCTTGAAGACAACTGCACTTCGTTGATTGGGTCATTATAAAACTCAATTGAGCAAAAGTGCTTTCAACTCATTCGAATCACTAGCCTTCATACGTAGATTATGATGGGAGAAGATCATATCAGTCTTATAACAATCTAATCACTGAATCTGAAAAGAACTAAAGTCCTCTTTTACAGTCGCTTCATTTCATATGACCATGTGTGCCATTGCACACACAGTCCACTTTGGCGTCCTCATCCTGGATTTGCAATCGCAAAAACGCAATAGACTTACCGATTGTTATCGATTACATCAATTTGAGGTGACTAGTAACTAAAAAGGAAAGAAAATGCTAAGAACACCTTGGAAACACTTACATGAAGGCTTGTTTCTCCAACGAATCCAGGATGGGGACGCCAAAGGTGAACTGTGTGTGCAATGACACACATGATCATATGAAATGAAGCGATTATACTTTCATTTGCATCCTAAATTACACGAAGTCCTTTCATCCTTTCTTGGTGCCAGAGTTTTTCCACTCATCTTCCATCTTGGCTTACTGCTCCCTTATCACCCCCTTCCACCACCCCTCCCCCTCCCCCCCCCCCCCCAAAAAAAATAGTGAATCTTACTTAGCCCACACATCTTATTCTTAGCATCGCATTGACGTCATGGCGTTCGCACCAGACCGTTCTCGTGACGTCACCACTTGCAGAACTTTGGTACAACTTGCTGCCAAATTATTGTGCAACGTATGCAGACTAGGGTAAGGTCAAGCAAGAGATCAAAAACAAGGTATAAATGAGCATAGTTACGTAGGGGGATGTTGATGCCATCGGCACCCAAGGTGATCGTGCACGTCATTACCGTATACGGTTATCTGTTTAGAGTGATGTCATTTCTCTTTTCTTGACCGCATTGAATCTTTGGAGCTATATATGGAGCAAAATCAACAAACGAAATTCACGAAAAGGTTCACAAGTTTTGTAAAAATAAAAGTTTCTTACTCGAAAAATATTTGATGATTCAGATTTTTGTCACTTGTATCGAATGTATGCACTTTTTTTAATCAATATTGGGACCTTCAGATGAAAGCAAGCAGTCAAGCTGTCAGCAGACACATGCGGATGTTCTTTGTATTATTATGCCATATTCTACTAATAACTCTTACAATTTCATTTATCAACTATGACAACGGGCAAAGAGTTAGTTTCTCCAAGCTTTTTCTACTGTCTGACAATTTCAAGATCAATAAATTTTTAGAAATTAAAAGAAAGGCGCCAACAGTTGGACAGAACTATAAACGAGCTAGCCCAGAGAGTTGTTGCAGCAGCCGCTGATCCTGGAGTACGGGTCAATGAGGACTTGATGAAAAATTATGTTGAGGTAAACAAATTTTCAGCGTCTCACCCCCCAGCTCAGCTCGATTACTACGAGGTGTAAAACAATGATTTTGCGTGAGGATTTAGGTAGATATTTTTTTCTTCTGCTTGTCCGTTTTTTTCGAGCTCGTAACCCCGTTCATAATTCGTTGCTTATAAAGAAGTTTCTTTTGGAAAGATCAGTAGCACTTCAGTCCCAAACATGGTACTGGATGAAAATTCTTTTTAGCAAGCCTACACTACATTACGTCGCATAGACAAAGGAAATGGTGAACTCCCTGGACCCTTCTGAAAGTAAAAATATGCCTTGATTTGTATAATCTGTTTCAATTTTATTGTTAGTAAGATGTCGATTATACGTATGTACGGGTCCACTGCTTTGTAAACTTTGCCTTATAGTTAGATTAATAATATATTGAGGACCAAAAATGTACCTTTTCTCTGTGTAATAACGGAACGAGGTGAAATAGTAACTCATGTAATTTATTTTATGAATGAATTATTTTACATTTTGAAAAACCGTCGTTCATACAACATCGCTGTCCTTCTGGAAGACTAAATAGTTTACTGCAGAGTACTTTATGGAAGCTTTCCCATCTTTTCATACTGAAAACATTCGGCCTGCTCTATACAGAGAGATCAGTTTTTTTGTCCCAAAAAAATGTGAACATTGTTTGATCGTTAATAACTCCGTTGCTTTCATGTCTTTCGCCGAGCTTGTGCACCATTCTGTAGAGCGAGGTTCAACTTGGATTTGGAGTATGCAGCGCATCACGATCGCTTTTCGTTACTGTAGGATTACGGTATGAACTTCTAGCATGTGGATATTGTGAAATATGAACATTGTGAAATATGCCATTTGACAAAATTTCTTTCAAAAAATCCAAAAAGTTATGTATTAGGGTTTTCGCGCACGCTGATTCCACTACATAACTTTTTACGAGTGTTTTTAGCTATTTTGACGGTATAGTCACATTTCTGAAAATTGCTGGAAATTTAATTATTACGGTTTACTTGGGATAACCTTGCAAAGAAGCATTACAGTAAAGTGGAAATTTCATAATTTCGAAATCAGCGGCTTCCATCACCATAGTATGATAGTTGTTGGCTTGTTTGGTTTATTCCGAGGAGAATATAGCATTCAATGTCCTAAAATCCTTGTCGAAGTTTCTACCGTAATCCTACAGTAATAAAGAGCGATCGACGATCCCTCCATACTGTAAATTTAAGTTAAACCTCGCTCTATAGAATGGTGCCTCAAGCTCGGCGAAAGACATGAAAGCAAAGGAATTATCAACAATCAACCAGTGTTCACATTTTTTTTGGGACGCCCCGTATTTTCACATTGTGTCAATGTGCCTAAAATGTCTGACAAAGGAAAAATGATAGTAGTGGGCTTCGAGATGTGATGGAGCAGAAATAGCGACTACAAATCTGCTTTCTATCCTGCAGGACGTTTCTGGACAAGGAGTTATGCACGTTTATTTGAGCAAAATCTGTATGCGTAACTCGGATAAAGTCGTGATATTTTTTTAGCGCCTGAATTGGGCTCAATGCTCAGTTCACTTTCACTATATGACTTCAAGCTTGAAGAAGACGTGGAGCTAGGAAGCGCCGACCTCAGTCTGTATTTATGTCAATTTTTGTTTTTGACGCTTACGAGGAAATGATGATTTATCGAACTTGTCAATTAAATGGCATCAAGATGTTTACTGTCTTTGAGAGCATAAAACACTGAATCTAGTTCGATCTGTACATCTGCGAAAGCTGCGCAATTAGAATGATAATAGTATCCTCTCTTAGCAAGAGAATAGTGACGAATGTGCAATTCAACCATGCATTAACCATAGTCTATCAGAGCTGTGCATCCTATGTAGACAGAAATTATTTTACTTCAAAGCCCATTGCATGAAACTAGTGTTATATACGTACGCAGAGTATTTGAGGGTTAAAGCGAAGTAAATTCTGCTAGCAGTAGGAACGAAGAATTCTTTACTGTTGCAAAATATTTGCTTAAATCCCATCAAATTGTTCAAAAACAACTTTACAAAAATCAAAATTCCAAGCTTTCTTTACCGGCGATTCCCTTCAATCAGGGCTCGGCACGAGCAGGCACCAAGGATATTTTAAAACGAAGCCCCGTTTGATTTTGAAAATTTCGTACGAATTCCCCTTTGACCTGTTTTGAAGATTCGTAATTATTTTTAGATTATGTAAAAACATGTAGTAGGGTTTTCATCTATGCTGACTTCATAGAACAACTTTTCACAGCTTTCTAAGCTTCAAGTGGTTGAATCACATGTTGAGAAGCAGAAAAAGCCGAATTTTCGACTGCGGAGCAGATCGAGCAATTTTCAGATGGCTATAAACGCTGAAAAGAAAACATTATGAAATTGTTTCTTCTCTGCATTTAGACTTTTACGTGTAGATACGTTTTTTGTAAAAAAGTATGAAAATTTATGTGAGCAAAGTGTCGGTGCCAGCTCAGCTGGCACCCAGCTGGCACGGTGCCAGCTAATTCAGAGAAAAGTTCAGCATAGCTTTCATTCACATAAGTTTTCATAAATTTTTGGGTTATAGTTCGGGTCCCTCAACGCGCATGCACACACCAAATTTGGTGTCATACTATTGCGATTTGGCTGAAAACAACGCCTTTGTTTGTTTGATGGGCAGCATGCCGGTGGCATGCCGAGGGCATTCTTGCGGCTCTTCTTAGCCCCGGACCCCGGAAAAACGATATCCAGCTTGACCCAGTGCCAGCTGTGCCGAGCCCTGCCTTCAATGTAGACTCCATGCACATCGCCTTTGTCACCATTAAAAATTAACATTATAAATTTTACCTTGTATGCACATTAACATTATTACGGTGAACAAAAATCCACGGTCTGTCTTCTGAAAGTAAGCAGCTTACATTCAAAAAATTCTTTTTTGTGATGTCAAAAAGGTAACGTTATGATAAAGGTAGCATTATGATCATAGTATACCTACCCTTTAGCGCACTTAAGATTACATAAACATCAGATTGGCAAACAAAACTAACACATCCTGTTTGTGTAAAGTCATAAAATCGCCAATAGTCATTTATGTTGTGCAGTTTACGGTATCGGCCTCGCTAAACAAAATATGCACTCCGACCAACCACACAACAACTTGTTTCTCGCACGTCACTAGCATTTGTTGACGTTATACACACTGAGTACAGTTACGTAAGCGACTGCGATCAGAAGATAAATTCACAACGATAAAATTTGAACTCCAGCGTTAAGAGGATGTTCCGTCTTCTGACAACGTCATCGCGGGAACAGCTACCTTGGACCGATTTCGCGCGAGACGAATTCTCTCTTACCGAAACGTCATGTCTGCAGTTTATATGGAGATATTATTTCTCATAAACTTCGCTGATTATCATTTTCCTTGGACTTCAATTGGCCTATCACCATAAAATGACGCTTCGCTTGAGTGAAATCGTCTTCTCGCTTAGATGTACTTCTGTGTTGTGTATGTATTCATTCGATGGTCATTTTTGGTTGTTGTTCGTCTCCTCACTAGAGAAAGTTTCAACCTCCTGTCATCATATGTACCGTTTTATCACAGCCAAAGCCCTACTGATGTAGTAACAAGCCAGTAATTTTTCCTCTAATTCGATCATTCTAAAATTTACTACATGGGTTATAAAAATGTGCAAGTGCTTGTTTATTATCCTAACCACTCACTTAATTGTTGAATTTTGAAGATGCGAATGAGCCTGCAAAAAGAATTTTTCGGATGCATGGCTGTATATTTTGAGGGTTATGGGGCGCAAAAACTTTGAGAGGCACCCCAAAAAAATTTTTCAGAGTGCGTGACTAAACCCACAGCGTCAGCGCACTTTATTCGAAACAAAATTTGCCGTGCACTTCCCCCCCCCCCCCCCCCCGAACAGAAATCTTGGGACGACCACAGTATGGTGACAATCACGGTTTTCATAGATGTAATAACGCCAGTCTCACAATAGCATTTTTCCATTTTGAGCTATGAATGAAAGCATGCTCACCGAATTATCTCGAAATTTCTCGCTTGTCATGATAAATCGCTCAAATTTCAATCATAGTTTGGTATACAGCAATAGGTAGCCAGTAAGAACTGTGACTACACATTCTGACACAAGCAGTTCAAAAATCCTCCCAAAATTCAATTTTGGTATCTGTCATTGTGCGACAAAGACACATACTCTTTTGACCAACAACACAGACAAATTACAGGCCACATACTGCAAAATTCCAGCATCTCGAAACTATTGCAGTGGGTACAAAACTAAGGTCCACTCTCACAAAATTCGAACTATTCGCTTCGATCGTATCTTTTCAGTCACCGAGATCAAGCACAAATAAAATCTAGTCCTAACTGAACAAGTAATTGAAGCTGTTCTTGTTTTTGGTCTTGCCTACGGTCTTACAGTGACGTACATACTACCCGGTAAATTACTACTAACCTAGCAAACATTGACGCATGAAAATTGTTTTTTCCCCTTCTCCTGCCCTTTCACGCCCTTTTTTGTGCGACTTCAAATCTAATTTTCAGTTAAGAAATGCCAAAAAGCAGAAGGAGCTCGGATAATGAAGAAATACAAATGTCAATTCCTAAGACTACTCATTCCGTGAATGAGAAATCGCTCACTAATGGAACTGAACAATCAACGTTGCATAATTACGAAAAGAGGAGAAGATCAGGTTCAAACTTATGATTTCACTTGGTTTTTGTGAAAAAATTTCATTTTCTCGCATAAATCAAAAACGGTGAGCATTTTCCAGAAAGCCATCTTCACGCAAACCATGGCGCAATAGCTACGATTGAACGGCAAACATCAAAAGCACTAGCTCAAGTTCCACTGCCAACACCAACTTCCACGGAACGAAGTAGGCTGGCCTAACAATGAATTTATTAAATTTTAGCTAACTTCTTCTTTTGCAGATTTCGCTAATTCTTTCTATTGGTTGTCACATCTACACAGGAAAGTCGGCCTTAGTCACATTATTCTTTTACTTGTGCTTGCTGCCTACACATTTCTTGGTGCTGTAGTTTTCTACTATTTGGAAACGCCTTATGAGCGGACGGTTGGTTTTCAAATCTTAAGTACCCTCTACTTTCTATGTAGAAGAGTCCCTCTAAAGTCAACCATTCCAGTTAATTGCTGAAAGGAAGGTGAAGCTAAACAATAGGCTGGAACAACTTGCGGATCACATTGACACATTGTCGGAAAATGAGACTGTAGAAGAGCTGGCGGAACAAATTAAGGTAGTTATAATGCAATTTATTTGCGAAAAGAAAATCTACAACAAATTGAAGAAAAGATTTTTTTAAATTAAGCGCACAATATCACGCATTGGACTATCGCAGAGTAAAGTTACAGGACACAAAATCCTAGAGACGATTACAAATTGCGCAGAGTCGGAATATTTTTTAGGAAAAATTGCCTGAATTCTAGACAAAATTTGGCAATCGCGAAATTTATCCAAATAGCATTGTAAAAGAATTCTTCAAAAATTGTAAATGTTATGACTTTGTCTAGACTCCCATGTCTTTCTTTAACTATCGCGGAAAAAAATCAAAGTGCTCTTTAAAGTTTATGATTGCGCTATGATTTGACTAATTCAGGCAGCATACGTTGAGATGCTCGATGTGGAAGGAACGTACAAATGGTCCATTTTCTACAGATCTTCTGATCCAGAGAACAACTATAAATGGACTTATGCAAGCAGCTTCTTCTTTGCTATGAATGTCTACACTACCACTGGTTATGGTGAGTGACCTTGGGTTATTTGGATCAAAAGATTGCAATATTGAAGACTGGAACGCTTCGCAATATTGAAGTAGGATATTGGGCTTTGATCGTGCACCTTTCTGGCTGACCCCTCCCCTCCCCCCCCTACACAAAAAAAAAGTTTCCTGAGAAGGTACCCTCCTCGTCTGACGCCCTACCTACGCCCGCTTTCGTTCTCTTTATCCCCCCCCCCCCCCCTCCCCCCACCCCTTTCCCTTAAGATATATACAGGGTGTCCCAAAAAAATGTATCGGACTTTTGATCGTTATATCTCTCTTCCCAAAAAGTCTTTTGCCTTGCTTTAGGTATCGTTTTGTAAAGCTGGCTTCAACTTAGATTGGCAGTATAGAATGAATCACCCATCTCTCTTCATTACTGTAGGATTACAGTAGAAACTTCAAAGAGGGTTTTAAGCAATGAAAGGCCATATTTTGCCCCAGAAAGGAAGCAAAACAGCCTGAAAACTTTTACACTAGGCTTATTGGAGTTGCTGATTATTACTGTAAAGTTCCCAATTTATTATGATGCTTCATTGAAGAGTTATGCCAGGTAAGAGGTAGCGGCCATTTTTTTCAATGTTCCTAAAAAGTGCGGTTACACCGTTTTGAAAGCTTCACAATCTTGTGAATAGTTGAGTATTGAACTCAGCGTCCATAAAAACCCCAATACACAAGTTTTCACATTTTTTTGAAAAATTTTGAAACGGCAGCTTTTTCCACATTGACACCATATGTTTCAAGTTTCTACCGTAATCCCACAGTAATGAAGAGAGATGGGTGGCTCGCTCTATAATGCAAATCTAAGTTGAAGCCAGCTCTACAAAAGATACCTGAAGCAAGGCAAAAGACTTCTTGAGAAGAGAGATATTAACGATCAAACGCTCGACACATTTTTTTGGGACACCCTGTATTTAGTGCTTGACTTTACTAGGACAAATGTTGGTCACTATATATTGATAGTAACAGCATAGACGTCGGGATTTCAGGTTCGATAGCACCTGAAACTTTAGCCGGACAATGGTTTGTCATCATATACGGCTTCATCTTCGTACCGGTCACACTGGTTGTGGTTCGTGATCTAGGACAATGGCTCCTGCTTGCTATTACAAAGCTCTATGCCAAAGTACTTCTCAGATACAGGTAAGTATGGAAAGTTTGCATTTCAAATTCCAGCTAAAAGTACCTGGTTAGATTTTATCCTTTTGCTTGGATGAGATTAGCAACACTGAAATAAAGACATAAGCATAGTGAATAATATAAAAAAGCTCTTCTTCTCTTCTACAGATGCAGCTACATTCCTGCACCGTGTCTTTTGATTTTGCGATAGAAAACTATTTTTCTCATATAGTAATTTTGCAGAAGATGGCGAGGACAGAATTCGGAGAAGAAAAATGAGATCATTCATCTGCCCATAATCATCAGTGTTCTCATAATGATAGGTCAGGTTTGCTTAATTGTGAGCATTTCCACCGAAAGAAAATAAGAAAAAGAGACTGTACTTTATATAAACTCCAATCTATACATAGATTTCTCAGCAGGTTGACAGTTGAGCCGCAAAATAGTAGGTCAACAAACTTTTTTCTTCATTCTATACAGGGGATGCACACCGAAAAATAATGCCCTTATGACTTAGGCCCGTATGCACTAACATCCCCGCGGCGAGGGGAGCGACATCCCCAATGATGAAGAAGCCGCAGCGTCGTCCGCACGCGGCCCTTTCATAACGGGGGACGCCGCTCCCCTCGCCGCAGGGATGTTAGTGCATACGGGCCTTAGGCAGCATCCAGAGTTATCCAATTTGTGTCAGCGCGGTTCCAGCGCCGCGCCGGAACCAACGTGGATGCGTCCTGTACAGCGGGCAGCTCTGGACGCAGTATGAGCTTAGCTGTCAACTCTTTTTATAAAGGGCATCTCTTTTATTTTTTTCCCTTTTCGCGCATGATGCAATCCACGCTACTTTAACGATGTTTTCTTTTCAAGACTTCAAACTTTATGATTCAGTTACTAATGAAAAAAATATTTACGCATGATTTAGCTGCCATTCTTGCCTGTGCAGAATTTGTCTACTATCTTGACGCATTCTCTGGTCCACCTGGCACTGGTATGGACTGGTTCCATACGCTCTACTTCTCCTATATGTCTTTCACAACTATTGGTTTGGGTGATGTGATGCCAAACAATGCTACGGTCAGTTCTTGAGAAATTCTCAAGTTCCATGTCTCTCATACTTCCCTTCTGATATCAATATTTCCAGTTTGCACCTATTGTTTCAATCCTTTTCTTCCTTGGTCTACCCATCTTGAAGGTCGTGAACAGAATGACATATCTCACAGTGGAAAATGGCTCATTTGGTAAGAATCTAAATAAATCCAGAGCTTTCATAATGATTCGTGAAAAATTGCAGGAATACTCACTGTCATCGAAAATCGCCTCGACAATTATTGGTCTAACGATCGTCTTCCTGCACAAGGCGGGGTTAGTGGAATCTCGATACAATAAATATTCCTGAGAAGTTTTTTATAATGAGAAATTCACAGGTTGAGAGCGGGACAACCGGCGAAACTGATAAAGATCACGAAAACAAAGATGAGGTAAGTGATTTGCACTCTTTCGCTCTTTCATAAGTCGTGGTATAATGTGTACATTGCACTAGACGCGCAGAACTTTACGAAATGCATCTACAAGTTTCTGGCAGTCAAAATTCTGGCAAATTTCTATTTAATTGTTTCTTTCTTAACTAGCTGCGAGCAGGATCAAATAACTAATCAATGGTCCATTCCATCTGAATGGATTGTTGCTTATTCAACTGTATGTAGTCGTAGGATTCCGCGCGCAGTCTGCACTCTCACTTGATTTACAAATGACTCCATCCATGAACATTGAGAGAGGATTTGAGGAAGCACAAATGTCTGTGTAAGCGTAATATACTTTGCCGATCATATATGCATACCAAACAGATACCTAGGAAAACGAGCTTGCTTTTATCCGATTGATACGGCACTTTGGTCGCAGTTGCACAAAACCACGTCGCTGCTAGCATGCTCCCAGGCTCTCACTATAGGCGACTAGCTATAATCCAGTCTCCACATTCGAATTATTTCTTTTGATTTTCTAAATGTGAATCTGATAGAGATCCCCCCCCCCCTCCCATGGTAGAGATTTTCACTCATAATCATTAAACAAAATAATATTTTGCGCCTAGCAACTGGATGACGTGGGTGATATTAGGGTAATGGATACATTAAAGTGATCCCAAGATGATGCTTAGCATTTCCAGCTACCTTTATTCCCCCTGGAAATATTCCGATTGAGAGATTTTTTTTTTCAGATCCATCCTGATTGGGTGAATAATATTACTATTCACTCAATTGCTACCTTCATGAGATCAAATAGCGATGTCTATGGAGGAGGATTTGGAAAAGTGAATCTCCGTGCTGCCGATGTATTGCCACAAGATTCGCAGGACACCGTTCGATCAAGGAAATCAAATCGTTAATTTTTAAGTTTGTTTGTAGTTTTTTGTTTGTTGTTTGCAAATTTCAGTGGACTTCATGACATTGTACTCTTGCATTGCATTCAGAGTTGTTGTGTTTGCACAGCTCCGGCGCCGTGCTAGCGCCCTGCCGAAATATTGATTGATTGACCACCGCTGGCACCGCAGACGGAGCTAGCGCGACGCTAGCACGGCCGGAACGGCTCTGGCACGGCAACTCTGGGCACAGCCTTGTCGTTAGCATGACATTTTTGAATACTTACACGGGTATACCAATAAACTTCCCCTCAAATAGACAAAGCTATCGCAACTTTTCAGAACTCAACACTTTTTGTTGAAAGCATATTCATTGGGAAAACAAATGATGCATAGCAACGATGAAAAAAATACAGGGAAAAAATAAGGCAGTAACTCGTCTATCATCCCCATCTCAAATGCAATGTTGCACTTCAGTTTCGCCGCATCAGTTCGAACTGAAAATAAAACAAAGCATCCAATATTCTCTAGTGAGTTCCACTAGCATGAAGAGAAAAAAAAGAAAAACTTTGATGAATTGCACCAGTGTGGATTTCACCAAGCCTCGGCGAAAGTCTCAAGTCATAAAAGATATAGAAAATACAAAGTTGTTCAAAATAAAAGCACCTGCTCTGAAATGCTTCGAGGTATCATGAAATTTTGCTCTCTGTCCAAGCTACCTTGGCTAAACACAGTTCGCATCGCTCGTTCTTCAAATCCTTCAGATTCTTCCTCAATTCTAAATCAACACAGAGATTAAAGACATATGATTAAAAACAATGAGAGAGTTGGAGAAATATACTGATGCCGTGCCAGTTAGGTTTCACCATCGTTCCAGGGTCGTACCGAAAGCTATGTGAATGCACCGCGTATTAATCGATTGAACGCCGTCATATTCTGGCACGGAGCTGGAACGGCGCACTGGCACGGTGCTGGCTCACTCTACTCTGCACGCAGCTTCAGAGATCGGATAGAGAAAGCCAACGTACATGTTGTTCTTTATAAACTCCCATCAGCATATTCTCGAAGCATTATTTCGATATTCAGTAAAATTCTCAAGTTTGTTACCCTCTTCGTTCACATACGAATAAAAAAAATTAGAACAATAAAATTCCTTGCGTTCACCTGTGTAGCTGGTATTTTGATTGAACTTCTAACTCTGTACATCCGTTCTCTTCTGCGATTTGCAGTTGAGAACCTAAAAGTACAAATTAGAGATTCGCGTGTTTTGAAAAAATGATAGTAATGTTACCATTTGTTGAAGAAATCACATCACTATTGATATAAAAGCTGTCACTTATGGAACCAGTCGTATCTATCGGTGATCCGGTAGAATTGGGACTGGAACAAAATCACACACTGCACAGTATTGACATAAACTTTCTGATGTTATACCTTCCAATGCTTTGCAAGGATGGGCTCGGTTCCTCTGGACTACAGTGCGTTCCATTTCGACTTGCTTGCGGTTGTGATGGATTTGAAGGTACTGATGGCGGGGAATACAAAGGCACTGGGATCTGAAACACATTTAAAATAAAAGAGAAACAATAGAAAAAAATTAGGAACAAGTGTAGAATTTCTATTGAGATTGCTAGATAAAATAGAATTAATTGCTAGAATCCAGAGGTCATTAGATGGTCTAAAAATTTCTGAACCATGATTACATCGCTACAGATAAAACACCGTTTTGAGTTCCTGGACATTGTGTTGCTTGATTGTGAGCAGTTCAAAATGTACTTGCTATTTTCTCAAAATTAATTAAGGAGACGTTATAAGAAATCGACAGCTTTGTCATGTCGTCGCGTTCAGATACGTGAGCTGTTTTACGGCAAAATTAGTGGTAGAAAGGAATCAAATTTTGTTTGTGGGTGCTATATGTGAGAAGTAATAAAACAGTCAATCATTTATGAGTTTTGTATCAATAAAGTTTATTTCACTAGCATTTTTTACAAAAGATATCAAGAATAATCGAAAAGCTTTACGGACTTTTTAGATTTTACGAGAATGCGATAAAGTCTCGAGGGAAGACAATTTCGCAAAAAAGCCGCGATCATGAAAGCAAATTGAACATTCATTTATTACCATAAATTCAAGGTAAAACAACTGGATGGCCTCCAAGAGAGTCTACGAAATAGGTTTTTGCTATGATGCTTTCAAAATAGTGCTTGATGAAGAAATTTCACGGTACTCACTGCGACCAGTCAAAAGCTCGAATGGAAAAAGGCTTCAACTTGAACGAAAACATCGTTTGCTCAACATAACAAACTCTGGTCAAGAAGTTTCCACCTTTTCCTTATTTTAAGAATCTCTGTCTACCAGTGGCGTATCGAGGGGGGGGCGCGCCCCCCCCCCCCGAGAACGGGTCGCGAAATTTTTGAAAATTACTTACATGCGTTATAAAAATGTGCAAATGACTTGTTTATTTTTGTAAACAATTAAAATAATTTTTAAAATTTTTTAAAAATTCAAATTAGCCTTATGAAAAAAATTTTTCGGGGGCGTGGCTGACGCCACGCCCCCTTTTTCCAGATTTTATGGGTTTGGGGCCCGCAAAATTGTTGAGAAGCCCTTCTAAAAAATTTTCGGAGTGCGTGGCTAACGCCACACACCTTCATTTGAAAATTTTTTTTGCCGCGCCCCCCCCCCCCCCGAGCCGAAATCCTGGGTACGCTACTGCTGTCTACATATATGTCAGTTAGCCCCCCCCCCCTCCTCCAAAAAAAAAGAAAGAGTTATTAATTTGAACACGACTTACACAAGATACAGAAATATACAGATAAATTGTTTTCATTTGTAAATGCTTCAAATATACAACTCAAATCTGCTGTACGAAATTTTTGTCGAAGACTATATAAGCAACGTTGGAGCTTGAGAAAACTGGAAATCTTCTCATAAGATATTGCAGCGCGCCTTGCCATTAGAAAGAAATTACTGCCTTTTTCCTTCCCTCTGCATTAATCAGCTAAAACATTTCTTGCGTCACCAATAGTGTGGAGGAAGATACTTTAAGTAACCTATGTAAGCTCAATCTTAAATGGATGGTTATACATTATTGTATTTGTAATATACGGACTCGTAAGAGCCACAATCACAATAAAAACTGCTCTGAGACTATACACAAGCTTCTAATGATGAAACATGCAGACATTTCGAGAAGTTCAAGAGAGTTAAGAACACAAACGAGACTTCTCGAAAAGTCCACATAATTAGTTTAACATCTGACGTGATACAAGCATCGCGTCACAAATTTCCACATACTTACCTGCATAGAAAAGCCTGGAGGTGGTGACTGAAAAGTGGGTAAAAGATGTTCATTGAAGGTTTACAATTTCTAGCAATTCGTTACGATAAAAAGCAGGAGAAAAAGATAAATAACAAAGAAATGAAATGATGCAAAGAGTTAGCTAGTTTATACTAACCTGAAATTCAGGAGGAGAAACAGGCAAAACAAGGTTGTAGGAAGAATGCGAATTGTAACATTGACGAGACTTTTGCTCAGACGTTGAAGTCGTGGTCTGGAAGAAGAAGAGCATTTTGTTAATTTATTCAAACTTCGTACAAGCGCTGTGCCAATGCCGTTCCAGCGAGCCGCACCAGGTTCAAGTTGGAGCCCACGTGGATCACGTATTGATTAAAGAGCGTGCCGGCACGATTCCAGTACGGCGCTGGCACGGCAACTCTGGTTTGAACCCTTGCGGAAAAAGCATTTTATACGCTAGTTTACTCACCCTATCTATCGAGACGAGATCATCAATTTTTTCACAGCTAGGAGATTCTTCTTCATCATCTTCCGGGATTGTAGCACAGCTTTTCGTTGTGCCACCCTCGAAAGATGTGATGCGACTGTCTGGAGTACCAAGTAGTGGGGCAATTGGTGCTCGATCTAAATATGACTTCAAAGTCCAATTAAGGGGATGACTGGTAAAAAATTGAAACCACTTCCAGAAGAGGAGGTTTACAATATTACTAGTGATCTGGGTTTAGAGATTGCGAAAGTCTCAATAATTTTTTGGAGAGGTGTGATAGAAATGTCGAATAAGCGCTCCGAAGGAAGTTTTGGGACACTCAAATTCTCAACGCTTACATCCCACAATGAAAAAGAAGAAAGTGGTGCAGAGAAAAAAAAGAAGAAAAGAATAAAATCATCGCAATTTGGAACTGTGGAAAACTAAAATTGTTGTGCAATACTAAAGTAAGTCAAATCTGACAAGAAAACTCTGAATTCAGCAGGTTTAGTGCCATTGAAAAATTCATTTTGTAGAACATTTTTTTATCTGGTAGATCACAAGAAGCTCACTCGGCGAGATATAAAGCGTCAATAGACCAGCCCAAAATCAACTTAAACATCACAGTTTCGTTCTAATATATACTATCTAAATATCCACAACTAGATACATCCCTTCCAAATAGAAGGAGTTGTGCCCGCCAAGCCATTCCCTCTATGCCCGCCGTTCGCTAGCCACTAATCTTTGCCGAATTCCAGTAGTGATATTCCAATCTTCCGACGTTATGTCAGATGAATTGACGAGATGGCAATCAAGATTAGATGCAGTAGGCCTTACTTGCCCGTTCAGCTCTGCTTCAACTGCTGCCTTACTTCTTCCGACAACGACAAAAAAAGGACGAAAGAGAAGAAAAAAGGAACAAGCATGCCGACTGCTGTACAAGGTGCGCCAAAATTAGGCGCCAACTTTACATCTGTGCCATAGAAGGCACTAATCAATCTCTACAAAATACATTTTATTGAATTCAAAAAGACCTCTTTTTAAGAATTCAAGAAATAAAAGAATCAAACCAGTATTTACAAGAAAGGCAAAAATGAAAATTTTATATCTTCATAATTTGCTCTGTAACTGAATAAAGTCAAAGCTTTTCTAAACCACTCCAATCTGTGGTTGTAGAGCACGATTTGCACAATCACACAGGTTTAGCTGAATCTGCAGAATTTGTCCCTTCATTGAAATAGGAAAATGTATTTGCGGAAAATACCTGCGTACGAGCAATGAGCTTGCTTATGTTGAAAATCGATTATTAGGCCCCAGATATGCAAAACCTTTCAGGTAAAAACAGAGTCCTGTTTGTGAGACATGTAGAAGAGCATCTACATAGAAGCAACTAGTTGAGATAGTTTTGATTCTGATTTAGAAGACATTTTTTAATCCTAAGGCGCATTCAGGATGGCCAAAATCACGCCAATTTTCGGTATGCCGCCTCTCAACCATGTCTTTAAATAATCAAAAATTCTCTTCGAGTTGATTTTCAAATTTCCATACATGACTGCATCAGAGATGAAGGCTTGCTCTATTTTCCTGTGCAATTACAAAGCAGGAGAAAATGTCGTTAAAAAGATATTAAACAATTTCTCAAAGCCATGCTTGCGTACAGAGCACCTTCGGTCGGCGAGAGAAACTGAGATTTTTTCGAGAAATAAAGCAGCCAAATTCTGATTTCATTATTGCATTACGATAACGATGGTTGGCGAAAACAAACGCATACTTGATCGCTCCTCAAGCCCGTCTAGTATCCTTCTGGCACTCAAGGAAACACGCGCCGGTAATTTTGGCGCACCCTGTAGAAGAAAAAACTCACACCGACTGGCATTTAGCGGAACAATTAGTGTCTTGCCATGCACAGGTCTTCGTGGAGGAGGTGGGCTATCGGATGTGTTGAGACGAACGGGCAAAGAAGGCTGCAAATAGAGTGAACAAAGCATCTTAAACACATGCCAGAGATTAGTAGATAAGACTGCGTTCAAAGTTGTCCGTGCCAACACAATGCTAGCTCCTGCCAGAATCCACTAGACTCGCCTCGTATTGATCGGCCGATACTGCACGGTACTGACACGGCGCTGGAACGGCGCTGGCACGGACAAAAACGCTACCTGAAAAAACTAACCCTCGGTAATTGAGGAGTGGTTTCTGGGGGCTGTGACGTTGTTGGTGTTGCAATTAGCGGTGTTAGGGTGTCGAATTCATCAACCCGAGCTATCATCAGTGCATATAATCCTTTCTAAATCAAAAATTCTGACAAAAATCAAACAAAAAAAGCCTCATAGATTGGAAAACGTTTACCTTACAAAGTACTTCACGCCTAGTGTATGGACTTCCTGGCTTCTTTTTCGTTCGCGTACAACAAAACATAACGAATGCCAAGCACTGGAAGAGATATATACAACCTAGTGAAATTATTATTAAAAAATAGGTGTACGGATGGTTGAAAGTGGCCAAAGAGAATATAAGCTGTTGAAGAGAAACAATAAAATTGTGTTATTTCCAGTCGCCACAAAATGTCCAGAAAAACTCGAGAAAATTTCTAATAAATGATATGTCCAAAAAAGTCGAGAAAAAGGGTTTTGGTTTCGACTTCGCTTTTTGAAACTATTTTTCCTAATCAATAAAGATTTGGGTCCATCTATGTTTCTGCAGATAGCCATGAACGTCGAGATTGAAACCGAATTTTGTTAATTTCAATCAAAAGTCCAGAATGTGTGATATATAAAATTTCAAAAAATGATATGTATAACAAGGTTGCAAAGTTTCTTGAACCATTCCAAAATCAAGCTTCTCAAAAAAGCAGAACTTATAGTCTTAATCACTTTTCTGCAATATTATGGGATTGCAAGGACAGGTGATCTGAGTGAATCGTTGGTTTCTTCAAAATAGATTCTACCTCATTTGCCCAAATTTAATCAAATAAGCAATGAGGAAAAATGCAATTATTCACTTATTTGAACAATCCGGGTCAAGATAATAGAGGATAAAATCTGGAGAAATTCCGACAATTTTTATAAAAGTGTATTTATTTTATTTTTTCATAAGAGGTGTATTTATAGAATATAAAATATAAAAATATATATTAAAATAACAGCTCTAATGTAGACTGAAGCTACCAAACTACTACTCCTACTACTCCTACTACTTTGCAAAGTAAAAAAAAAGAATTTTTTTAGAGCTTCTGTTCCTGAAGATACTGCAGAACGAAAAAGCTATGGATTCGCGAGACTATGCTTGAAACAGAAATGAAACGAATAGCCTTAAGCCAGATGAAATTGGCAGTATCTTTCCAAAAAGCAATAACCTTCATCCATGAATTCAATTTTCCCCCCAAAGCACTAAGAAAAAGTTCATTTCACTTTCAGAGTGCTGAATAAACAACTGGGCCGGCCATAAAAATCAGAGTCTGCGCCTACTTTAGGGACTCGGCAGCAATGAGGGAAGCGACCGTTATAGATGCCTCAAATCCCCGGAGGCAAAGAAAAGCGGTGGAAGAGAGCCTGAAAACTGCAGCCAAACAACAAACCGAGCTCACTTTTGACGCGACCGATTGAAGATTCGAAAAACTGTTGACGAGCGGGTGAAAACAGGGAAAAGAGTTTGAAGAGTGCATTGAATGAGGACCAAACGCGAAAGTGCAGCCGGAGAGCTATGTATCTCAAGTATGTTTCCGTGCAAGTGAACTCGGAAGAAGGAAGATCTATCATCATCCAATGACAAGCAAAGGACAGAAATATAAACAACAAGATTGGACTGAATAGTGAATTGAACGAGAGAAACAAGAAGGTAAATGCCAATTAGCTGCTGTAAACATCTTCCTTCGATTTTTCTTCAACTTATTCCTACATACCAATTGGATGTAGGTAATGAGTGTACTTTTCAGCTTCCTTGAAAATTAGATTTTTCTCCACATTTTCTCAAAAATCTACACCGCATAAAGAATAGTTTCGTAGAGGACAAAGCAAATGTGAAAAAAAAAACTTTTTCCCAGAAAACCATATATTTTCATTTTCCTGAGCACAACGGCCCCCTATGCAAATTCTCGGTCCATCAGGATCAAAAATGCGTTGGTGAGTTTCAAGTGGTCTGTAAAGAATTTTATCGCGTTCAGATTGGCTCCATATATTATTTTTTGTTTGAGAATTCGTAGATATTCCAAAATGTTTGTCCCAAATCTGTTGTGGTATTTTGAGACTTGAATGTAAAGGTCGGAAGATAAGAGAATCAAAACTGCCATTTATCACGTTATTTAATCAGCTCTCCAGTAAGGTCCCAGTCTAATCTAATAATCGCAATTGTATTGGCCGGGCCTACTGCTTTTTCTATGTTGCTGAAAATTTCCGTAGAAAATTCTATTAAACTACAGTTGTAAAAGTTGCATCAAATGAATTTTTTGAGTGTCAAGTCAATAATTTTCATTTTAGAGGGTAAAAAGTATCAATAGGCACTATTTGTTTGTTAGATATATTGTAGTTCGTGTGTAATGCATCAAATTTTTGAATTCGTAATCCTGTCCGATATATACAAATTGTCTTATACAATATGCTTGGAAGATGAAGTCAAGCGTCTTCTAGAAGAACTCACGGCAAAAATCACTGACTCACGGCTACAATCCGATACAAAATAAATTATTTTTTTTTCAAATTTTGTCACCATACATGCCAAAGGTTCAATAAACTATGATTTCGGTTCTGGTTTTGGTTCTATGACCCGCTCTTTCTGAACAAATTCACATGGATATTTCCAGGACCTGGGTCAAATACGCTACGGACAATCTTTTGTCCAGTAACCGATACTCTTAGAAAGAGCACTTCAATGAGAATTGAAGTGCTAACGTGGAACATAAAATCTCTTTGAGTAGAATTTGTTTTGCAATGAAAGAAATCCGCAAAGAAGTGTGAAAAAAACCCAGTTTTCTCATCGTTTGCAAATCTGTGAAAATGTGGTTTATTTCCTCCGATCAAAGAATTTTAGAATTGCAAATCACAATTTACATTGCTAGTCGCTAACTAGGAAAATATATTGGTAGTCGCCAAGTAGGGAAAAGTTGTCTGTATCCGAATACCAAATTGCTGTTTACATTCATTGGAGCACGAAAACAAAGCTTAGAAAGTCGCAGAATTGAGCTTTCGGATTTTTAATCATGTTGGGGCACTGTCCCTTTCTGACAATTTAAGATTCTGAACAGTTGATATGTGATAGGAAAAGCTTTCAACTATATATCTACAAAAAATGTGGATAAAGAACAACTAGGAAAGGCCTTGTGATAATTTTCATGCCAAAACGAAATTATTTTTTACGGCCAACCTAAACGACAGTTTTTATATGGATTTCTTTGGACAATCAAAGACAGTCAAAAGATTTGTCTACGAGTTCGGTGCAAGACTCAAGTGGCAGCTTGATACAAAAAACTCATGTCAGGGCAAAAATGGAACGAGAAAATTGCTGCAATGCCTAGAATTAAGCAACCATTCTGCTCAACCACTACTTGCATACAAATTGTTGAGGTTAGCAATTGGAAGGGAGCTCACGTCAGAAAAAAATGGGGAATCAAAAACTGCAATCGAAAAAGTTCTTTCTTAATCCCTTTCACAGCAGCATTTCAAAAGCGCTTGGAATTCTTCGCACTATCTCACTCTCACTCTCCCTCATTCTCGATAGTGCAGGCATCTCCAACTTGGGTGGAAGCTAATTAACAGACAGGAACGCGGGGTGGCTATAGCTTAACGAGGGCAATAGGAAGCATTGCCAGCTGGATAAGTGCGGTGTAACTGAATGAATTGAACAGAACTAATTAGATTGTCATTTCGGGACTTTCAATCAGCTTGGGATAGATTCGTATAAAAAGTAGAAGTGTATTGTGGAAATAGTTGCAGTATAGTCAAATTTATTTACTACCTTTAAAACATAATTAGCTCATGTTTACAAGTTCATGCCATACTTACTCGCTGGGTCTAAAGTCGAACGTGCCAACGCCGTTCCATCGCCGTTCCAACGCCGCTCCAGCGCGTGGCCACATGGGTTCAGGCACGTCGTTGGCACATGAACAACTCTGGATACAGCTTTTCAAACGCGGCTTAGCAGCGAAAAAACATACGCTCAAATTTACAGAGCTAATATTATTTCGGGCCTTTCATTCACTTGAGATAGATTCGTGAAACAGCAGAAGTATAAATGGATGAAATTAGCCGCATATCAAATGAAATTGAATTCACTACCGTTGGAAGCAGTAGTTCAGTGAATTTATAAGCTCACGCCGACTTTCTAGCTTGATTCTAAGATGAAACTTGCCAACACCGTTCCAACGCCGATCCAACGCCGCTCCAGTGCCGTTTCAGCGCAGTTCCAGCGTCGTGCCGAGCTGTGCCGGAGAGGTCGAGCTATCGGTGTTGCGTCCATGTTGGCTTCGGTACGTACTAGACGGCGCTGGCACTGCATTGAGACGGCTTTGGAACATCGCTGGCACTGCGTTGGAACGGCGTTGGCACGGGCAATTCTGGACGCAGTATTCAATACGCTAGCGATGAAAATACTATATAATTCCAACATATTCACAAATAAATGTATATTGTACCACAGTATCTATGAGATGAAGATCTAACCAAGATCGACTTACCAGGATTGAAATGGCTATAACGGATAATATAACTATAGTGATGAATGCCTCGGATGAGATAGGTCTTCTCGAAATCGACGAAAAAGCCGAAATAGTCGTGAAACATGAGACCATCATCTCGCGCACTCCCATCGCTATCTTAAAAGCGATCAAATAAACAAAGCCAAAGAGCACGAATGGAACGATAATGGGATTTTGATAGAATTTTATAGCTCTGGCTGAGTCAGCGAAAAAAACTCCAGCTAAGACAATTAGGAGCTTCTTTTCAAATTTTCTCAACTTCTAAAAAACCAGGATCCGCCAGAGCAAGGATGGGGGGAATGCAACAGGCTTGCACTAATGACCCGTGCTAAAAAATCAATTTCAAAAAAGCGAGATGTTCTCCAAATTCTTGAAGTAGCCTGTTCAAATAGTAGCACGCGAAGAATTTGCTGGAGCTGACATGCGAGTACTACGTGTTTGTTTTGGAATTCGCCCCCAAATATAACATCAATTATTCCCCACGGCCAAGACGAATGTATCCTTGCACAACGCTTAATTTGGCAAGCGCATAGGGGCGAACTTTACCCACACTCCCATGCTTGTGTTTTTTCAATGAAAAAGTAGTTTTTTGAAGGAGATTTTTTTTTGAAAGAATTCGCATTGTAAAAGTTGAAAAAATGCTCTTACTCTTAAAACCTATGACTTCTTGCTAAATGGATAGAATCAATCAATTCAAATGTTATAGGTAAGTAGGCTGTCGCTTTACCAATATTCTAACGAATGTCGCTTTACCAATATTCTGACTAATGTCGAAACGGTTATGGAGTTAAAATGAAAAGGGTAAAGAGTTTTAATCATTTCCACCTGTCAGTCAAAATCTTAAAACCTTGCATAAAGTTAGAATTGCTATTTGGTTGACTCCTTTTTCAAAATGAGATAAGTCCATGCTGATACTTTCTTGAGAGAGTTGTTGAGTCACTAACAAGGGAAGTCACTTAACTCAACTCGGCCTTGCGAAATAAGACACATATTTTAGAATCAGCTCAGCTGATTCCAAATATGCTGTCCTTAGATGCGAAACGTTCCTCTGAAGCGAGTTATGAGCTTTTCAGTATGTGTCATTGACATGAAACTGAATATGGAAAGAAGCCCTTTAGATGATCTGCCTAAAAAAGTAGTGGAAAATCTGTAAGTAATAGCACAAATCGCGAAAACGATCTTTTGGCATTTTCAAGAATTATTACTTTTCGTATAGACGACGTCAAGTAGCACAAATAATTTTTGCTTGAGAAGATTTGCTATAAAGTATATGCAATGACGATTCCTTTTTTTGTGGCGTTATTTTTGGCCATTCAATTATAAATAACTGAATCTAGTATTCTTTCTTTTGTATGCATCCATAAGAGTCAACAAAAGAGACTCGAATACTATCATGAAATTCAAAGACTTTGTTTCTCATGTAATTCAAAACGAAATCAATAGGGAGATTTTAAGATTTTCAAGAAGATGTCATAAGAATATAAGCACGAAAGTTCCCATCGGAAACTGACCACGAGAACAGCGGCAACTGTCTTGTTTCTAATAAATCTAATGTTTTATGAGGTATAACAATTAGGGTTATGTACGGCTATAAAACCATAGATCTTATCTGCCAATAAAAATTATACGGACTCCGCACAAATTGAAATGTCAGTAGTCAAGCTTCAGACAGAGATAAATAGATATTTCAGACGCCAAGTAATTATCCGACTTCAAAACTTCACCATAATCGCAATATCATCAGCGTTAAAAGTTCCGCATAGGGAGAAAAATTGAAAACATTGCATAAAATTTATTGATGTGAAGCAAACCAATTCGTTAGTGAACAAGCTTACCTGCACAACAATCTCTGCCATAAGTCACTCGGTTCATAATACAAGTCTAACACAGATTGCATTGCTCCACCATCTGCAAAACATACTTTCTGATTGATTTATTTGCTTAAATTATTATAATTAATCAAAGGCGGAATGGGATAGAATAACGAAAATGGTAAATACAATGCCATATAATCTTGTAAATTTAATTACAAGTGCTAAGCTTCTCTAAGGAAACATACGAATTAAAGCATCATCCAAGGAACGAAGGACGGAATTCGAGGTCCGTAAAATCGCCGAATTAAACCAGGCCACGAACGAACGCTGAATCCCTAATGACCAGTGGGGGCGAGATAAATAGTCGAAACATTCCTATGGCTTCCACAGTTTCGATTAACAACGGCTTTAGTCCCGCATGAATGAACACAACCTTCTGCTCACTCATCTTCTCAAACTGCCATAAATGAGATGGACGCAGAAAAAATATAGTGGCATCACTTCATTTTAATAAAATCAACTAAATTGAGCATTTGGTTTGCGAAAAGCTCAAGCAAATTTATGAGTTTGTCCCATAAATTTGCAGGGACTCATATCTTTTAGATTCAGCACATTGACATACTAATTCGTAGTGATTTCTTTGAACGTAGAAGGATAAACTTTCAACCCGCCCTCCAAGCTAATTGAAACGTCAGATTCAAAATGATTAGGGCGCTATGTTTGTGCTTTTGGCCACAGAATACAGCAGTGATATTTTCAAATGTTGCTTGGGTTGTAGGAGAGCAGTTTGGGGTCGTGGTATTTTTGAAAGGAAATCCAATCTTTTCCCTTTTGGAATTTCAGCTTCGAAACTTCACGATCAAACTTTTGCGAATTCTTGAAAGCTATCATCTTGTAAAGTTTCCGAGCTCTACTCACTCAGTAGTATCCCAGAATTCCTGAAATAATTGCAGGCCTGAGTTCAAATTGATTTCCCGTTCAAGCACCATCAAATACGAAAAAATTGATTTTGCTGCAGAAACCAACGGGACAATGGAGCTCAGCAAATTTAGAAGACCCAAGATAGGGAAACCAAGCATCAAAGGAAATTTTTCAAGCCTTTTATTCAAGTGAAAAGAAAGCATGTAGAGCTGAGTAAGCCGCCTTTTACAGCTTTACTCTTTGTACTATAACAAAGATGTCAGCAAACATAAGATTAACGATGAAGTGCGAGATGGGCTGGTGCTAATTTGACGTCTCCACGTTTCCCAGATCTCGTACATAGCGTGCAATCACATCATGCACGATAAATGCATTTGAGTACGTTCCATTGTTGTTCGCTACAGCATGTGGTTAAATGGTAAGGGTTTCATGGATTACGAGAAGCAAATTACCTCAAGTGAACTAACTTAAAGCTCAAATCATGGATCCATAACGCAAATGATAAAACTGAGCCACTCAGCGAAAATTTCGGGAGCTTAAAGCGCGAAACAAAGGAATATCTTTTCTGCTTGTTGTGATACCTATAAACAGTAACACCTGCAATGTGTTGTTTTAATATTAGGGTCACAAACCTGACAAAGGCGAATTCGTAGATTATATAGGAAAGTGCCTATTATAGACAGCGACTTTTACTGCCCTTTCAGTGGATAGAAGAGCTAGGCCATTAGGCCATATTTCTATGGACTACTGACCCTCAACCGGCATGTAAAAGCATGTGCAAGAGGAATAGTTTCCCTCGGAGATCGTATCTAGCAATACTATTCTGCTCTGATCTTTCTGTCGTTTTTCCATTTTACATGCATGAGATAATTATACACTGAGAGAAGCTATTATATTTCTTTTTGCGTATGGAGATAGGGGCTGACTTTTTATACATTGGATCTTAGTTCAGTTGAGTCTAACGTCCAAAACTTTTTCTCTCCGAAGAAAACAAAGCAAGGAAGAAAATTTGAGGCTTAAAAAAACAAATACAAAATGAGAGAAACACGAAACGATAACATACATGAATTAGAAATGACAGGCTTTTAATTCGTACTTAGCATGGTGATATATGAGTACATGAACGACCAAGGTCTACCGGACGAAGGCGGATCATCAAATGAGGTAAGCGCATGCGAGCGCGCTCGCGAGCCGGTACCGGCATCAAATGTGTACACGCGACCCAATGATAACATGTGCTCTACCGCATTCGCGCCTTTCGCGACAATAAACTATCGGTCTACATCCGCGTCTAGACTATACATGCGTAAGAAAATCACATCTCACACGATAGTACACTTTGAAATGACGGAAACAGCCCTAAGCGTTAAACCGATAATGCGATTAAACTTCAGAAACGATGATCTTTTCACAAGCTAGAACGCAGACGCTCTCCCCTCACAAGAAAAATGATATTTGTAAATAAACCAAAGACTTCGGAGCGTTTGCACGAAGAGTCGCTTTCCACGCAATTGTGTTAGTACGCTTCGCGGAAAAATGCCTCACGGGACTCATTGGCCGTCACATTTGAAACAGCTGATCTTCGTCAAATAAGGACTACGGCGATCAAAAGCCTTATGTGAATATTTGCACAGCTGGAATTACATGTTCTTCTGTCACAGTGAAAAGGCATCCTCATCAAGAAGGTACGCAAGTATTATAGGCTGGACTCGAGCTTACTTAGGCAAACAAAATGGGCATATTGGTTCAGTCCCTCTCTTTCTTGTGATAACTATGTTCTTCAGTCAATGAATGAAAGCTAAGATAATATATACAGGGTGTCCCAAAAGTATGTATAAACTGTTTGATCGTTAATATCTCTCTTCTCAAGAAGTCTTTTGCCTTGCTTCAGGTACCGTTTTGTAGAGCTGTTTTCAACTTAGAGTTACATTATAGAGAGAATTAGCGACCGCTCTTCATTACTGTAGGATTACAGCGGTAGAAACTTGAAACATATGGTGTCAATGTGGAAAAATGTGCCATTTCAAAAATTTTCAAAAAAATGCGAAAACTTGTGTAATAGGGTTTTTGTGGACGCTGAATTCAATACTCAACTATTTACAAGATTGCGAAGTTTTCTAAACGGTGTAACCGCACTTTTTGGGAACATTGAAAAAATGGCCGCTACTGCTTACTTGGCAAAACTCTTCAATGAAACATCGTAATAAGTTGGAAACTTTACAGTTAGAATCGGCAGCTCTAATTAGCCTAGTGTAAAATTTTTCAAGCTGTTTTATTTCCTTTTTGAGGCAAATGGCCATTTTTAGCTCAAAACCCTCTTTGAAGTTTCTACCGTAATCCTACAGTAGTGAAGAGAGATAGGTGATTCATTTCATACTGCAAATCTAAGTTGAAGCCAGCTTTACAAAACGGTACCTGAAGCAAGGCAAAAGACTTCTTGGTAAGAGAGATATTAACGATCAAATAGTGCATACATACTTTTGGGACACCCTGTAGATCAGAATAAATGAATAGTGTTAAATAAACATAGTGCAGCTTTAACTATGAGACACACTAATACTTGGCTGCTATACTGCGATGAATGGATTGAAAAAGCATATGAATTGGCTTAACACGATAGACTTGCAAAAAATCAAAGAACACAATAATTAGAAACTAGAAAAATAAAAGTCAAATGGAGAACATTGCTTCAACACGTTACATTCGCAGCACGATTTTTTCGAAACAAGAAGTGATTGTTTATGCATGAGACGTCACTTTTTGTGTCAGAAAATAAATTATGGGGGCTCTGTCATTCTCCACTTTTTGAAGCATTTGTTGGAAAGGTATTTGCAGAATGGTGCAGAACATTCACAGCGGTAAGCATGGACATTGTATCGGAATGACCGCAAATTTCATGCCCGTATTTTGACTATATTAACTTTTTGCTATTTCAACGGATTTGCTTGACACTCTTTTTTTGGAAAGAAAACCTATGTACTTACAAAGGCACATTACTGGTTTTATTCAAAGCAATTTGCAGACTCATGAAGAAGAATATCACTCAAATTTTTCTCATCTCAGAATAGGTCTCAAGCACTTGAAACTTCGCAATGAAATCTGAAAATATCAACATTAGTGAAGCTCGTGCTGGCCGAAAGTCTCTGCAAAAGCCAAGAAAAGTCACATAAAAGTTGAATTCACCGTTTTCCATTAAAAACGGTAATTACTTTTTGCGACTTTCCAATGATCATACCTTGCTTTTTAGAACTTAGGTAAAAGAGTCGGTATACAGCTTTGAATTTTATATCAAAGTTTTAGATTTTTGATGAACCACCTGGCACTGACTAAAGCTGAATTAATCTCTAGATCATTTTTATCCTCAAAAAAAGTGTTTAGCACAGAAATAGCAGGTCGCCATTGAAAAAAGGAGATACTCTTTTACAGCAAATTATTCAATAGAAAGCAGTTGTTTGAAATAACAAGAATTTATGAATTTTTGAAAATGAAGCGACGGAACTCAAAAACACCTAGATGTGCTCTCAGAAAAAAAAACAAACAAAAAAGGAACGAGATTTTGTGTAATTTGAATGAAAAGAAAAAATCGAAGCAAAAATGAAAAGATAGCTTTGCGAATAATTTTGCAGCATTAATTAAACATACACATAAAATCTTATTGTGCAGAGAAGTTTTAGTACTATTCCATGTGCGGAAGAGGGTAAGGATGGCCTTTATGACTATGAAGAATTCAATCAAATTTGCAGAAAATATATTCATTTATCTATTAGAATTACTAACCCATCTCCTTCCTTTCCCGTACGAAAAAATTTGCAAGTCACTGTACGGAAAGTCGAAGGAGGTCACGGTCAAGCAAACAAAAAAATGAGAAATGAATAATGCTTATAATAGCAATTTGTATTGACCGAACCCCCCCCCCCCCCCCCCAGCCACCCAAACAGCCAGCGTGTGTGCTGAATGTGGTCACTCTCTCGCGAGCCAAAGCAACCACTGATTACGGGTCCGAATGCAATTGTCGAATCCGTGTTGCCAATTGACGGGAGACATGACAAATGTGTTCGAAAGATAGACGTTCGGATAAGGTTGGAGATTGGCCGCTACCATGTTTCAATGATCTTTAGATCAGAGCAAACGTCTGTGGCAGACGGGGGGGGGGGGGGGAGGGGAGCACAGCGCAA